CCTATATTATGCCCTTCAATGACATTGTCTTTCGACCGTACGACATTACTGGAATTCCTTTTTGGTGATCTAAATCATCGTATGTAAGATAGCGCGTAGCATTTCGCTAAGAACCAAGACTCACGATCTACTAAGCTTTATATTGATTCAAAGCCAATCGTGACTGACAGGAAATTTGACTACACAACGAGTAGTACACGCATGTGTTAAACATATAGATGAAGTCACTTCAAAACGAACCACCTATGAGCTAAAACTTGACACTTAGATAGAGGAGGAAGTAGAAATAAAATCTTTATACGCTATTATCATCCAATGAATTCATTGCAACACCACGAACAATGAGACTTCTGTCTCGCTTACCTGCCCGACGGGTAGACCCAATAGAATAAATAGAATAAGAGGCTTGACCTAGAGCTCTTCTCTTCCCCCTGAAAAAAATAGGATGTTCATTTGGCATGAGTAGCCTACGAGCCCTTACTTGATGTCTGCGCTAACTGCCCTATAGCTGGTGAATCCTTTGAATCATAGGAATGGCAAAATCAGTAGATACCGGGCTTGGAACATCTCACCACACGCGTACTAAAAGCGCGATCTTGAAACTAGAAACTCTGGTTTGGAACAAATGAGCGGATAGGCTTGACGAAGTTTAGGAAAAATGCAAGAAGAATTTTTGCCGTTCTGTCTTTCGCACGGAAGTCTGTCTGTCTTCATTCCAATCATCGTAGTTCGATCGATCAACTACGCCCATCCAATCTAACCATCTCTCCTGAAGCCCTTTCCCTTCTAGTATAGTAGCCCTTCATCGTTATTGAAACATAGGTCCTCGGCAGGCGGGAACAAAAAGAGAAAGAAGAAGATAGAAAGGTTCGGTCCCAGTTGGTCTCGTCTATGGATTTTCTTTCCCTATCTTATTGTCGAGACGAATGTGGCCATACCCAGATGACTATCGCATCAGCAAGATGACTTTCTAGTCAGATCCTTCCTGCGCTTCGGATATGAAGAATTTTATCGTAGGAAAGATGAAAAAACAAAGGCCCCCTCTTTCTCCAGAACTTGGACTCAATCCACATCCCTTGCTTGAACCTTCTACACTGAACTCAATTCAATAAAGTTTCCCCATCCGATAGGTGCTATATATAGTGGACGATTTACCTAGTAATCGGCATTCGGCGAAGCAACTTCTTTATTCTATTCGCTACCGGTTTTGGGTCTTATTAATCTACAATAATCGATAAGAAAATCACTGTCGCTATCAGCTACAGACCCAAAGTAGGACCTAAACAATGAACTCTTCTCTTTGGCAACAAACAATAAAAGTCAAACCTTTATGAAGACGAGCATACGATGTGACTTGAACCACGCCCTCACTTCACGTCTTCTGACAGCGGTTAGAACAACAATGACTCTATCTTTCTCCTCTGATTCCTATCGAGTTTCCCAAAGGCTTCTCTTCTGACTGTGCTCGTTGGGGCATTAAGCTTAGGTTTGGAACCCCTGCCGCGGGCTCCCCCTTCGTCTTTCTTTTGGTGTGACTGTTTTTCTATCAATATTCGGTGATCAAGAAGAGAATGTCGTAATGGAATGGGCGAGGCCGAGATTAGATTGACTTCCCCTCATCCAGTTCCTAGTTTCTAAGCTACTGATGAATCTAGCTATGAGGGATTCCTCATCTCATAAATGAGGGTCGAAACGAAAAAAGACAGGATTTTGATACCTCAACTTAATTTGTTGATTGCTTCTTTGGTTGATTGATTCTTGAAGACAAACATACAGACAGTGACACAGATCCATTTCTGCTTTCATTTCCTGCTAGTTTGGTTGCACTTGGGCTTAAAAGCGACTTTCCAATCTTAATCTTAAGGCTATTGGTATTGCTTCAACCCACTTGGTGAAGTAGTCTGTAGCGGTGATAACAAAATGGTGACCATGACTAGAAGGGAAAGGCGGAGGTACGAAAAAGGGTTCGCTAATTGGATTTCCACTCATAGAAAGCCTGAAGTTCGTCCTCAACTGCTAACAATTCCAAATGCCCAAACAGGGAAGAAGAAGTGGTATTTGTTATAGATCCAAGGCATTGATCACATACTCCTCATCTCACCTGCTGCATTCTCAGTTTGGCAAGGTTAGAGTAGGTGAGAGCTGGAAGAGTATCTGTCATCTGTGTGATGATTCAATGACTTCCAAATCTGTGGCTTTGGTTAGGTGGATCAAGCCACCACTGCTCTTTGTCAAGCTTAATAGTGATGGTCGCTGTAGAGATGGTATTTGTGGAGGTGGTGGTGTTGTCAGAGATAGTATGGGTGCTCTTATTATGGCTTACTCTATTCCCTTGGGTGCTGGAACCAGTAACTGAGCAGAAGCAAAGGCCATGCTTTTTGGCCTTAAATGGTGCATTGAAAGAAGGTACAAGTTGGTGATAGGGGAGACTTATTCCTTATTGCTGTCAAGCTGCACTTCACGGATGTGCCCTATGCTGTTGAAAGCCTAGCTCATCCTCATCCATCCTAGTTAGCAGTTCCAGCTCCGTATCAAGGTCACTATCATCAATAGCGATCTCATCAAGAAGAAAACCTTTAGGCTTCTTATCCAGGAACTTGTTCAGAAATACCGTAATGAAAGGAAGATAGGAGTTTGTCGCTAGGTATTTGACCAAATAGGATCGTCCAGTTCCTATGGAACCTATCACTAAATACCCCTAGAGGGTAGATAAGGCTAAGCGGAGCGAAAGGGTTTTCCATGAAAACGATTTTCCCCACACGAAGTTTGTGAATAAGTGATTGTCTGATAATGAGCAAGGAATATCCGTCTTTCTGCTAAACAGGATGGATTGAACTCAGAATTCATTAGATGCTTTTTATGAATGTCAACTAAGTATCGTAAGTAAATTGCTCCCGGTTGTTCAATCATTTGATAACCAGAGTCATTCTTTGATAATGATCACTATGAGTCAGACTCAATAGAATTTGATCAATCCATTTTCTGTCGTTAAGGTGGAGAATTGAACCAAGAATTCTCTTTCTTCATCCTCAATCGAATCACTGTTCGCGACCCAGGATTCTATTTTATCATCAATCCAATCCCCGTTTTTTCTTTTTCTTAAAAATGAATAGATCTCTTTACTTGTATGACTTAGATGTCTCGTATTTTCTCGAAAAAGTGATTCTATTGATGGGATTTGGTATGAGATCGATGATCTCGATGAGATTGATATTCCAATCTTTCTTCTTAGAACGTATTGATTTGACCCCATAAGCGGGGCCAAGCATGTTGCCGCCAGAAGCAAAACCCCGTATAGAATCTCCTAATTGTTCCAGAGCTACTAGAAAGGGATTCTTTAACCAGAAAGAATTCGGTTCAGATGGAGGATACCTATCCAGAAGTTTTCGCAACTCAATCATAGATGATGGAATCATCAAAGATTTTACCTTTTAGAACTCTGTCTCTAACTCACTAGAGGCACGGGAAACAAAGAGAAGATGTGTACGAACGAGAGTTGTTGAAACTAGCATATTGGAAGATCAATCGGCCAAAATAAGCATGAGCGGCTACGATATTCTAAGTTTCTTCCTCTTGACCGAATCTGTAACCTTCATTAGCAGATTCATTTTCTGTGCTTTCCCTGATCAAACTAGAAGTTACCAAGGAAGCATGCATAGCACTGAATAGGGAGCCGCCTTTTACACCAGCTAGGCCTAAGATGTGAAATGGGTGCATAAGGATGTTGTGCTCAGCCTGGAATACAATCATTAAATTGAAAGTACCGAGCTCTACGTTTGAAACTTCAACACAGTCATTCCTTAGTAGCTCGTTGCTACAACTTCTATTTAGCTCGTTCCGTGCTTACTCACTTCACTCGCTCTCGTTCAGTAGCGGTTCTTCATTCTTTAGATAGCCGCGCGAGAGCTCTGAAATTCCATTCAGTTCAGGTCCTTAGTTCCAGTCGAATCGCGAGCAAAGCTCGACACTGCTAGCGAAGCTCTACGACAGAGCATATCCATTATTTCCATTATAGAGCCAATCACACTGCGCTCTCTCTTTACGGCCGGTATGTAGAATCGTCGGAGCGAGCAGAGCAACGGAGCAAAGTGGGCTGTTTGAACTTTGACTCTTATCTGTAAGTAAGGAGCTGAAAACAAGTCCTTAGGAGGGCCCTCATTCTCAATGCAAGCTAGCTCTTACTTGTGTTTAGTGAGGAGGCTACCTAACATACAGGTGACTGCCCTGGTTGTGATTTCTTCCTTGGGTAGGCCATCCGTGAGTGATAGAACACAGGGAAAGAAAGTCGTATAAGGACGAGGTGGACTCTGCCATCTCTTTATGTTCGCTTCCAGAGGTGCTTAAGTGGTCATTATCCGGGTGAAGGGATGGGCTGGGGTAGGTAAGGGATTGTGGAACTTTGGTTTTATTTAGCAAGGAACCCTTTCACTCGGCGTCGAATGATCAAAGCTAAAAGCTTTAGGCATCTTTTGAGCATATTCAGCATCCAAAATTCCTGGAGTCCTACGCTACGGCATTATCACAGAAAGAAAACATGGCTAGTAGATAACTATTTTCTTATTGTAGAAAGCGATCAGTTCTTTTGATCTTGTTCGGGCTTGGAAAAGCTTCCTTTTTCAATTCCAGAAGTGGAGGAGCCTATGTAGAAGAAGCTGTAGAAGAGCACCACCACGGTTCAGGTCCCGACACATGGGGGATTAATTCAGCTGCAAGGATCGTGAATCAAGGGAAGAATGAGACCATAATTTGGAAGTCGCCCCCGACCGAGACCTAGATGGCAACCTAACCGAGTACGTCATAATTGAGAAAGGGAAGACCCACACCCTCAGAGCCAGAACACAGGCGCCGACCTCTCCGCCACCAGCACAAGTGAATAAGAAAGGATCACGTCGCCAAAGGTGGCGGTATCACCATCTACAGGTCGAGTCATGAGATCTAAAGTGCAAATACTCGACGCCGTGAATCAAGAAATTCGGGTGATATACATACGAAGGCATTGGTCCTCGGTCAATTCAGTCAGGTCATTATTATATTTCATTATTTTTTTCTTTCCGATGATGTGTCGTGTGCGATGGTAGCTTTACCGATAAACATACTCGACAATCAGTGCAGAGTAGTGTGGGTGTACTTTTATCCTAGAATTTGAAACTTCATAGAGACTATGTGCTGATATGAAAACTCTGTTGTGCTAGGTTGACATAGCATATGCTCCATTTATCGAAAGGTTCCAAGTTTTCATGCCAGAGGGGTTTGACTATGACATCACAACCGGGAGGCATAAACTAGCCAAATGGATTGAGGTATGACTTGTATTAGATATGGAGTTTAAAGTATGATTAATATTTTTATATTATATATGAAATTTTATTATTCTTATTTTTAATTTAGTTGTATTAGAAGTTGTATCATAGAATGTTCATCACAATAGAAAAGGGTCCACGATTTTCTCTAGGAAAGCATAGAGACTAAGGCTTGTTAAAATTGCCTTTGTTTCTTTTAGTGATAGCGTAAACTTCAAGGATAGCTGGTTGGTGCATTTTTCATATATAATTCATGTGCTTTATATTGAAGGGCAGCCTTGGAACAACAATAAAGTTGTCTCCGTGTTACTAGTAAGTCTTGAGCTGCGCAAACTCTTCACTTTTGATGCACCCATTGACATTTTTTAAGAGTCCGAGCTACATAACATGTTATTTATAACAGGTTCAAACCGTGGAATCAACCATTGATATTTGCGTTAGGGTAGACTACATACATTACACCCCTTTGGTGTGAAGTATTATCCCAATCCTGCAGCGTGAACGTGGGATGATTCCTGCATCATATTGTTCTTTTTTAAATGTGCTTCATTAATCATCTTGTAGGAAATGAACAAGCTTGACGGATATAAAGTTTAGTAGAAAATTACTCTTGTTTGCCTATATCTTTCGTTCTGTCAACTTCTTTTTCTCTCTTGCACTCATTTACTTTAATTTCATCTTAATGCATGATATACAATTTCTGTGTATGCTTTTGTGTGCTTTATTTCTTCTAGTCGAGGACCTGTTTTAATGAGAAATGGTCTGCCTTTGGGACTGCTCTTTAGCATTTCTCAAAAAGTTAGGCTCGGATAAATGAAAACTTTTTAACTCATTATCGTTAGATCCATGCTTGAATTGGTTGAGACAGGATTATTGTATTAACTTGTTGAATGTGGTTACCTGCTTGCTTAAATAGTGGTCTGTTTTAGTCATTTTTATTTTCAAAATTCGATCAGATTATCTCAATTTTAAAGTGAATCATATGGGTAGTCTCTTGCATTTTAGAGTTAGTTGTGATTTCTTAAGACTTTTTGACATTCTGGTTTGATTAGACATATAATACCCAATTGATTACCTTACCTGGAAGGTCCGATGATTTTCTTTCATTAAGGCAAACTTAAGCTATTAGACTAACTTGAGAATTTTTCGTATTCTTTCATAGTTAGTAATTGGCTTTGTATCCACGTTAATGAGATTGAGCTAACCATTTAGTTCAAAATCTTAACTCATATAAATTGTTAAGTCCAAAAGTATATTTCTAAAACAAGATGTTTTCAAGTAATTCTATTATTTTTAAAATTAGCCAATTTTTAAATCAGTCGGTCAACCGCATGTTAGCGGATTCTCTAAGATGCTTAAACCCTTCCTTAGAGAATTATTTAAACCCTTACCCGACTATGGTTTTATTTTAAATGTTTTCTTTCAAAAACTCATTTTTAATGGTTTTCTTAATTTTTCCTAAAAATTAAGTGGTGACTTCCAAATTATAATTTTTTCCAAAATTAAACAAAATTGCCAAAGTTGCGAAAATGGTTTCGAAACCTTAGTTTTCGAAATTGGATCTTAACAGTTGGTCTCCATCCTTTTACTTATGCAAGCACACTGACGAGGATAACGTTTCTCTTAGGTGGTCATTGCAAAGGAGAATGGTCCCTATTACTACTAAGGGAAAAGAAAAGGTCACAGAAGAAACTCTTGAAAGGATGCCCTTTACTAGAGCAATCTCTCAAAAACTCATGGGTGATGCTATAAAGTTAAGTGAAACAACTACGGCAGAGAATCAAAGGAGAAGGTCTGGTGATATGGTATTCGAGTTGCCTACAGATGATGTGGTGGATGTCTCCATCAAAGTTTTTAAAAATGAGTCTGTGGATGAAGACACTCCCTTGGATGCTGCTAAAAAGGGAAAAGGGAAACAAGTGAAGAAAACTGGCAAGGGGAAATCTAGAACATCTATAGTCAAGAAGGCTGACACTACAAAAGGAAAAGGAAATGATTCACAAAAGAAGAGGGAACCATCAAAGAGGAAAACAGAAACTTCCTATGTTCTCAAGCAAAACTCTAAACAGGGACCAGGTACCAAATGAAATAAGAATGACAAGGTGAGCAAGTAAACAATTGTTGATAATCTACGCCTACAGAAGTTTCTAGGAGGGAGGGTGTTTGATACTAAAATTCTTACAAAGCCAGGTATGGACTCTTTGGCTGATCTTGTGGAGATTCAATCATGGACTCACTTGTTCATGACCAAATCTCCTGTTCTACATGAAAAGAAAGTCCGAGAGTTTAACTATAATGTAGAGTTTACAGATGATGGCAGCCTCAACACCTGGGTAGGAAATGAAAGTCTACATCTGGATGAATAACAGCTGCGCAAAATACTAGAGGTACCTAGAGAAGGGATCAGATATGTGCTGGAAAAGTCGTTCTCCAAATAGTTTGTGAAAGAATGCTCCAAACTTTCTGACATGCACCGTGCGGGTTTGAATCTCCTGAAGGGAGAGTACCAATTGTTTTTCGAGTTTGTCAATAAGGTACTTCTTTGTCGAACTGAGAAATGCGCAGTGGCATTTGCGATTGACCTGTTTGTGATGGAATCCTGCAAATTTGAACCCCTCAATCTCCCAGCCCTAATGTTGGAGCATATGTACAAAACCGTAATTGAACACAAGGGCAAATATGGCATGGGTTACGGGTATTTCCTCACTAAAGTATTTAAACATTTGAACATTCCAGTGGGACTAGGTACTGTTGGAACTGCCAAACAATCCTTCTCTCTGAATACTTTGGTAGAGTGTGAGTGCATTGAAGGGAGAGCTGGACCACTAAGCAATATGTCTCAGTTGGTAATGGAACAAAATCAACTGAAGAACGAATTTGAGGAGATGACTGTGCTTGTGAGTAACAAGGATGTAGAGATTGCCTTACTGAAGGCTCAACTGCTCAAAGCACAGACTGAGGGACCTGGTACTAAAGAAGCCAACGCTCTGCGGTCAAAGAATGCTACCCTCCTGGCCAAAAATGTTGCTCTTCAAGAGAAAATGATTAAAGATCATGATGCAGCAAATGATCGGCTTACTCTTGTCATTAAGTCCCTCTCTCCTCAGCTTCCCTCCACATAGTCCCTTTTATATCCTTCTTGTGTTTTTTCTTTTGTGTGGACAGTGTCTGGGGTTCTCATAATCAGTTTAATTTTAATATATTGAATGCTATCCTTTGTGCAATGAAGTTGGTTCATGTTTTTTGTGATTAAATCTTATCTAATCCTTTTTTTTTGTTATGTCTGTGTTGCCCCTGGCTATGATCTCACTTTGTAAACTTACTTGTGATGTTGGTTTACTACGTTTCTTTTTTATGATGCCAAAAGGGGGGGAAATGTTGGTTGCTTAGGTTGGGGAAGGTAGAACAAAGTGGCAAGGTAGGTTGACAGGGGGAATGAACAAGCGACAAGGGTGACAGAGGGAATGAAAATGAAGGCATTTGTGTGGAGTTTGTCATCATCAAAAAGGGGGAAATGTTATTTGTGGTTTTGATGATTTGACAAACCATGGGACCTTGTAAAGGGGCTTTATCCTTGTATCAATATACACACAAATGCCAGGATGTAAAAAGTACAATTGGTTGGTGCACAATCTCCAACTGTGGTAGAAACCTCGGCCAATGGCATGGCCTCAAAGGTTATGTTTATTATTTATAAACGTTATGTCCAATAGACACAACCTTAGTTTTTGCATCTTCAAAATTCTCAAGTATACAAGCAAAAACCATATTGGTGAAGAATCATCCTCAAGAGCAACAAGGACCTGATAGAGCTGCAACCTGTCTAGTTGTCTTAGGATTATTTCTTATGTGTTTTCATTCTAATTTGTTCCTTATCTATAAAAGATTCAGATCGTTGTTCAATTTGGAAAAGTCTAAATCAGTTAGAGTTAACTGATTTAGTGGGCAGTGTTGTATCTGCTTAGTCAAATTCTAAGTCATCTAGGAGCTAGTTGATTTAGTGGGCAGTGTGGTATCTGCTTAGTTGAAGTCTAAGTTCTCTAGGGTTGATAGCTTAGTGGGCAGTGTGGTATCTGCTTAGTTGAAGTCTAAGTTCTCTAGGGTTGATAGCTTAGTGGGCAGTGTGGTATCTGCTTAGTTGAAGTCTAAGTTCTCTAGGGTTGATAGCTTAGTGGGCAGTGTGGTATCTGCTTAGTTGAAGTCTAAGTTCTCTAGGGTTGATAGCTTAGTGGGCAGTGTGGTATCTGCTTAGTTGAAGTCTAAGTTCTCTAGGGTTGATAGCTTAGTGGGCAGTGTGGTATCTGCTTAGTTGAAGTCTAAGTTCTCTAGGGTTGATAGCTTAGTGGGCAGTGTGGTATCTGCTTAGTTGAAGTCTAAGTTCTCTAGGGTTGATAGCTTAGTGGGCAGTGTGGTATCTGCTTAGTTGAAGTCTAAGTTCTCTAGGGTTGATAGCTTAGTGGGCAGTGTGGTATCTGCTTAGTTGAAGTCTAAGTTCTCTAGGGTTGATAGCTTAGTGGGCAGTGTGGTATCTGCTTAGTTGAAGTCTAAGTTCTCTAGGGTTGATAGCTTAGTGGGCAGTGTGGTATCTGCTTAGTTGAAGTCTAAGTTCTCTAGGGTTGATAGCTTAGTGGGCAGTGTGGTATCTGCTTAGGCTCAATAAGTAATAGAGTTATTACTTAGCTTTGAGATTAATAGCTTAATCTCATTTGGTGTTGTAACTGTGTTTCACTTTTGCTTGAAGAGATTAGTGAAAACAATTGAAAATCATGTGTGACAGGTCGTGGTTTTACTCCCTTGAGCAAGGAGGTTTCCATGTAAACTGCTTGTGTGTTTTATGTTCATCATCTATTCTTTGTTACTGTTCTTGCTGAGTCAAGGGACCTATTCTGTTGACTCATAGTGGACGCACATATTCTATCAATTGATATCAGAGCAAGTGCTCTCTAGCTAGTTAACACCAAGAGAGAGACTCTTGTAGAAAGAAGGATGCTCCACTAAACCTAGGAGAAGGACAACCATCAACAAGACCACCTTATTTCAATGGCCAATTCTATAGTTGGTGGAAAACAAGGATACACGACTTTTTAATGGCTGAAGACAGCGAGTTGTGGGACATTGTGCTAGATGGACCCTTCATCCCAACAACGGAAGTGAATGATGGAGAAATTACAAAAGTTGTTCAAAAGATCACCAACAGTACAACGAGGCGGACAAAAAGAAGATTGAGAAAATTTATAAAGCTAAGAAGCTCCTAGTGTGTGGTATAGGTGTTGAAGAATTCAACCGCATCTCTGCTTGTGAATCGGCAAAAGAAATTTGGGATTGTTTGAAAATAGCTTATGAGGGCATAGAGCAGGTGAAGGAATCAAAGGTGGATATGCTGACCACCCAATATGAGAACTTCACAATAAAGGAGGGGGGAACTATTCATGACTTGCATACAAGATTCTCCTCTTTAACCAACGAGCTACGATATTTGGGAGAACTTATCTATCCCAGCAAGCAGGTCAGGAAGATTCTTCGAATCCTTCCCAAGTCATGGGCAAGCAAAGTAGATGCCATTACTAAAGCAAAAGACCTGAAGGTT